TTAATGTCTTATGAATATTTATGCCAATTGCGTAATGATATAGTTTTGGCATTGGCGTTGAATTTTAAATAATATGTGCTTGTGACGTACAATTACTATTATTATTATTACAGTTACTTAGAAATTTGCTAAATGGCAAATGCTTTATTATTATTTATTCATTTTGAATTGATATTAAATGAGTTCAAAGATTTATTTTGATTCACTAAAAGTAGTTTGTACCTAAAGTAGCAGTATTCAGTACCTATCTGAATTTCAGTTAGTAGCATTGGCCATTGCTATGGTACGAACTATGAATAGCTATTACAATTTACAGGTACCTATAATTATAGGTACGAACTTCACCAATAACACTTACTAAATTATCTCTCGACATTTGTACCTTCCCATTAAATGTGTTCATAAATCATATTATGTAGGTAATAAGAATTAAATTTACTCAATCTGAGTGAATGGACCAATTAACAAATCAAATTTTGAAATTTTTTTTTATATCAATTTATTTTACAAATTTTTTATTTTAATATAATATGGCCGAGTATGTTTTTTTGTTGAGTTTCAAGTATTGCAGCCTGCTACAATATGGTCACAATTCACAAGGGCGGCAAATACTTTATAGTATTTATTCCGTTGCCGTTGTAAAGCCAATTTAGGAATAATGACATAGTGTATACAGTATAGCCGTATAGATTATATTATTAACTTTTTCCGAAAACATTGCATTTGAAAATATCATTGTGCAAATAAAATAAAATACATACTTTAAAGTTTAAAAGATAACTCTTACCAGTGGCGGTTTTGATAAGACATCAAGGGGGGCTATTTTAAATTTTTGGACCTCCCCCCATAATTAAAGCAACTCAAGCATTTAGTGTAATTTCAATTGAAAAAAGGACGTGCAAAAATAAAAATCCAAGTGGTGGTGAGTGCCCCCTTCTCTGCATCTTACAAGTACCTATGAATACAATTTTTAAATGTCTTTATCATTATCTCTGTTTAAATATTCAAGAACTTAGAGTACCTATCCATGAAAAAAATTGAGCCTTCATATTTTTTAGTTATTTTGGTTCCTATTATATGAATTATTAACGGGTATTAAATCTTCAAGCCTTAGCTCAAAAATTTTAGATTCTGAGTTAAACGATGAATGTATTGATTTTACAATGATGCGTGTTTTTTTTTAGATTCTGAGTGGAACGATTAATGTATTGATTTTGCAATGATTTGTGTTTTTTATTTTTGTGTCTGTGTACACGATAAGTAGTCGAAATAATGCTTCGATTTTCAACTTCAGTATCTCGTTCGATTGGAAAGTGAATATCGTTGGTGCATTGGGTAAGTCAAAATTCCCAGTAATTTTAAAAAGTGCCAAGAAAAACAAAAGAAAAATTAAGGAAAAACGGGAATTTTTAAGCAAAATTGATTTTTCACCAGGGCTTAAAACCGTTATCAATCAAGTCGGTAATCGGCTCCAGTAGGAGCCAAAAATTTTTGAAAACCGGTAACCAGTTATCGTTTAATTTTGATATTTTGGTAACCGGTAACCGTTTCTTTAAAGATATTTCAAACACTATGATAACCGTTAATCGTTTAAAAACCGTTGATTATATTTTTTGGTAATCGGTTACCGGTTAAAACCGGTTCTTAAAAATCATTTTTTTTTCAATTTTTTAATCATATTTTTGAAACAGTTTATTTAGGTTATTCGTGGGTTGATAACATAACTATTATTATTACAAAATCAAAAACTTAATATGCTTTAATTTGGTCGATTTCCTTCAATTATTTAAATATTTATTTTTTCAAACTGCTTTAAAGTTTAAAACATATGATCAAGATAATGGCGATCTTAATAAATCAAAAAAATAAACTGCATATAAAAATGTTATTGTTATAATTTTCTTCTTTATAACCGTAAAAAACCGAAATAATATATAATAATTTTGTACTCATTTTTTTGAAGGGCAAAAATGTGTTTCTCCAAGTTTGACGAATGCTTACCAGATATATACTTGGTACATCCCACTACATTACATTTACTACTGTTTTTATTTATATCATACGTAAAATACATTTCAAGAACAGGGTTCTTCATTTTTAATTTCCGTGTATAATATATGTAGTTAATCTTCAAATTATTTAAATCTTAACCCCTTTAAACACTTTAAACAACAGCTTTAAAATAATATCATTGACCAATGTATAAAATATAAAGTGTGATAGACAATATTAAAATGTCGTAAATACTAAATGGACTAAGCCCCTATTCCACCAACTATTTCGTAATAGGAATCAGCGCGCGAGGACGACGACGATGTTTATGACGGTATTTATAATATTAGTTATACAATTATACCTATATATATATATATATACATATATTGGTTATTGATATTCACAACAAATAAGCAATACTCGACGACAATTAATTGGGGAAAAAAATTTAAAAATAGCTGGAAAATTAAATTCAACTATAATGTAATCATGACATAATTCAAGTATTAAATTCCACGAAAAAACCGTTAATTTTTTGGTCGGGAATAGATTTTGGTTATAATACCGGGATTGAAAAAACGAGGTAACCGCTTTGATGTTAATATTTAGATATTTACCTTGATAACCGATAAACAATAACCGCTTCCAGCATTCCAAAACTAAGAACGGTTATCGGTTTTTGGTTCTCAAATTTACGGTTTTTTACCGGTTTTCGTTACAAACCGGTTACCGGTTTTAAGCCCTGTTTTTCACAAAATTGAATTTGGTTTTTTGTGAAACTTTAAAACAAATTACCGTAGATAGGTACATGACATTTTCACTGGTTGTTTATATTTCCATTTTCTATACATGATAAAATTTTCAAAATATTTTGATTTGTTTTGAACTGTTTAGGGACATTTTCAGTTTCCCATTTTATTAGTTTTTTTTTCTATGAATGTCAATAAAACTTTATTTGTTGAGTAAAAATACTTGAAAATTTAATACAAGGCTCCTATACTATATTGTTGTAATTTAGAAAAGAATAACTGTATATACATGAAAATTTCACTGAATGTGTATTTTATCAATTCTTATACTTGATAAAATTTTCAAAATATTTTGACTTGTTTTGAGTTGTTTACGGACAATTTCATATTTCAATTTTTTTATTTCTTTTTTCTATGGTTATCAATAAAGTTTTATCTGTTGGGCAAAAAAGTGTAAAAATTTAATACAAGGCTCCTGATATTGTTACAATATCAGTTGAAAAATATTAAAAATGCATAAGCACAATTTTTTTATAAGCATTTAAAGATTAAGTTTTGACAAAATTTATCAAATTTAAAATTGAAGAATTATTTTGTAGTTAAAAATGTATAAAATGTTGAACTTTTATATCTAAGGATTGAAAATTTAAAAAAATATTCCACGTAAGTAGTTTATTCGGTTACCAAAAAATCTAAAAAAATACATAAGCACAGTTTATTTTTATAGTCATTTTAAGTTCAAATTTGGACGAAATTACATATTAAAAACCTAGAATAACTATTTTAGTTATTTTGTTGTGATTGTATAATATTATTCGCAGGTAATTGAAACTTCTAAAGTATACTATTATATATCTATTATAGAATAACGGTTTGTTGTTGATGTATAACATATTATAAGTACCTAATGGCTATTGTGATATGATTAATTTGGAATTTATTATGTGTCAATTTTTTTTTTTATACCATGGATAAGTATGTAATATGTCTTATACCTAGACTGACATACCGTCTCCGCTCAGAATCGTTTTTCTTATACAATGATATATCATTGAATTCAATTTTAATACCATCCATTATACAGTGACCCCCTTGTACCTACTGTACAGAAGAGCACCTTTTTAAATTTTTAGCTACAAAATAATATGCAAATTTTAGTGATTTTGATTTGTTTTGTAAAAATTTTAACTTTAAATACTTATAAAACAAATCTTGCCTATCTTTAATATTTTTTAACTGTTTATATATTAACTTATGAGGAACCTTGTATTAAATGTTCAAGTTTTTTGATCACGCAAACTGTTATTTTCGACAGTAGGTAATTAAAAAGCAACTAAAAAAAAAAATCAAAAATTCCTTATGGTTATAAATAGTTCGAAATGGTGAACATTTTAAGTAACTATACAGTTATAAGTTTTTGAGTTTCAAAAAAAAAATCTAAATTGATTAGGTATGTCAAAAAGTGGATATTCGTAAAAATTCACATTTTTCTCACACATCTGAATACTACTGTGAATTTCTTACTTTTGACCCAACCCGTCACCCGAAAGTACCAACTAGATTCACTTTTATACTAAAAAAGATACTGAAGTATAAAATTGGAACATTTTTAAAGCCCCCAATACTGCCTACAGAGCCTGAACATGGCAAATTTAGCCTCCCTGGTGGTTGTCGACGCCACTGCCACACACAAGGTGTAATATAATGAAAATCACCTAAGGAAAGAATTAACGTGCTAGCAGTGTTCTTCGTATTAGTCATATCCAGGGGTTAAAGGGGAGATGCATTTGGCTCAGTCTCCCCACCTCTGACAATGGTTGAAAAGCATCGCAGTTACACCATATATGTTTTCAAACATTCAATTCATTTTATTTGACCTGATGGACATTATTATAAGCATGCCTAGTGTGTTATTTTACTTTGAACTCGTTATCAAGGCCTTAACCGATTGAGTTGTTATGAAAGTAAATGAATACGTATATAACACTATAAGTATTATAATCTTAACTCGCGATGGTGAGAAACCTGCAGTACTATAGTTTTCAATAACTGAATTTCAGTTATCTGTTTGATAGTAAACGAGTAGGTGCTGGGTGCACCTACACCAAACTATGTGTCGAAATTTGTACCTTACTGATCAATTTGTTAATAAGTAATTATAGTGTTATAATATGTACTCAATTAAGTGAATAAACCGATATAATAAAAAACAATTTTTTAATTTTTTTAATACAATAAAGATTATTTTCATCTAACATGTTGCGGAGTATGATTATTTGTTCAGTTTTATGTATCACAGCCTGCACCATAGTCACAAGGGCGGCAAATATATTGGCATTTATGCCGTTACCGATTAAAAGCCACTTTCGCGGATTTCAACCGTTGTTCGAAGAGTTAGCACACCGGGGACACAATGTAACGGTAGCTAGTTCATTCCCTCTAGATCGTCCAATTGTCAACTACACGGATATAGGGCCATTTATTAACAAAGCAAGAGGTTCGTAAACTTTACAAATGTGTACGATGTTTGATACCCAAAAACACGTAAAACGTATAAATAAAATTAACGTAACAATGTGTCAAATGTTAGACCAACACTGTTCAATTAAAAAATTACAATTTTAAGGCTATTTTAAAAATATTAAATAATATTGAATTTTATTCCGTTCTCGCCCTCCATTCTGGACTAACTGCCGGATGTTAGGCGAACTAGATCTTAAATTTTGGGGGCTACAGCCCTACACTTTTTATAATGAGTAATTAAGTGAGGAGCTCCCCCCATTAGTCCCCCAAAGTCTTCCAGTCATCGTTACTCGTTAGTCGTTATCAACATTCACCATTTATATATTAATGTTACAACAATAAAATGGGGAAGACTATTTTTGTGTTTAATTTGACCACTTCTGTGTAGTATGTAGTAAAAACTACAAGACATAATACGTCATACACAGGGTCATCACTCATCACATACAAATTATATTATATAGTTTATATAAAAAGTAAAAACAATTAAAACGATATTTTACATTAAATTTCATAAACGTAGTTATACCGTTGGTGAGCGTAAAGAAATTATGAAAGGGGCTTCCCCCTACACACTCCAACCCAATAAGTAAATACAAACAAATAGGTAAGTATTAGTTATAATTCAGTTATGCAGTATGTAAATACTGACTCTCCAATTAATTTACAATCTGTATAATTTATAGCATTTACAACTTGCTTGTATAGAGTGTTTTTTATTGTAATTGTATACGATATTTTTGTTTTATCACACTAATTAGTGACTGGTGCATTGTATATAATATACAGACAACTTAGACATCATGATACACTATACAACTATCAGTTCGTTAGATCAATCATATTATTATATTATTATTATATAGGTAATATATGCATATTGCATAACGATATAATATTATATTTGATAAAAAATAACGATGATCAAGCACACTTAATTTGTAACGGAAATTCTAGACGTTCCGTTATTGATAACGAGAGTTTTGTTTATTTAATTAATATTATTGTTAATATTTGTTTCAGCGAGAAATGTAATGGATTTAGTGCACATGAACTTCGTAACATCGGTCAAAGTGAAATGGGACCTTGGCATAAGGTTATCCGATGTAATCATGTCACACGAGAACATGAAAAAGTTCGTCCAATCGAATTCGAATTCGTTCGATTTGGTCATGATCGAAACTTTCTGTCAAGAGTACACTATCGCAATGGGCCACAAATTCAACGCCCCCGTCATAAATCTTGCACCTGCGATGCCCTGGGCCAGTATTAGCAAATGGCTGCACAACCCTTCCACATTTTCGTACATACCGGACGTGTGTTTGCAATCAACTGGCGATATGGGTTTCGTGGACCGTTTAAAAAACACCATAACAGGGCTCATGCAGTCTTATGCTGATAATTACTTGTATTTACCTAAAATGAAGGAAGTGATGAACAAATACTTCAAGTACGAAGGTTGGGAGTCCAGGCCTCCACTCGAGCATATGTTGAAAAATGTGTCCTTAACACTGGCCAACTCAAATTATGCGATTGGTGTAGCTAGACCGTATCTTCCCGGTATCGTTGAAGTAGGCGGAATGCACTTAACAACCCCAAAATCTCTACCCAGGGTGAGTTATAAATGTTAGATGTAACTGGTTTAAGAACTGATTATAGTGATTACTATACTATACCTACTATTAGTTGTAAAAAAGTTAAAATTTTTATTTAAGCATCTGTGTTTTTATTTTAGAATCTTCAAACTTTTTTAGATGTTGCAGATGAAGGGGTAATATTTTTCAGTTTTGGTTCTATAGTTAATTTGAATGACTTGCCCAAAGAAAAATTAAACATTTTTCTTAGTGTCATTCAAAAATTAAAACAGAAAGTAATTCTAAAATGGATACCTAATGATAGTGTCAAGCTGTCAAAAAACATTATGACTGGTTCATGGTTTCCACAAAACGACATTTTAGGTAAATATTGTTAGTAATACAAAATAATACAGAAAAAAATTAAATGTTTTTGCAGGTGGAAAAAAAAAAATATTCTTTACAAAAAAAAAATATAAGAAAGTCAATAATAAATGTAATGTTTAAATGTTTATACTTAAAAAAAATATGTCTCACACACTGGTAAGGTACGCAAAACAAAATTAAAAATTTTAATTTGTAAACAAACAATTATTTATTGTAGACATTTTAGATTCTGAGAGGAGCGATGAATGTATTGGTTTTACAATGAAGTGTGTTTTTTTAATTTTTTTATTTTTGTCTGCCATCACCTTTTTAGACAGTAAAAATGCTTAAATTTTCAGTATCTTTTCTGATAGAAAAGTGAATCTAGTGGGTACTTTGAGGTCGAAAGTAAAAAATTCCTAGTATTTTTCAAAAGCGCAGGGAAAAACAACAAAAAAATTAAGGAACGTAATTAAAAAACGTGAATTTTTACGCAAAATCAGTTTTCGACAAAATCAATTTTGGTTTTATATGTAACTCTATAACAAATAATCGTAAATATATGACATTTTCACTGATTATTTATATCAAATTTAACACCATCCATTACAGTGACCACTTGTAATCTACTGTACAGTAAAACGACACCCACTTGCCCACCTTTTTTTATTTTGATATCAATGCGTTTAAGGTAAGTATATAATTATTAATCCGATGACAATAGGCATTCTTTCGCCAAAACTACTTTCACACAAAAAACCACCTCAAAGCTCAATCTATAATTTTTCTATTGTCTCTGGCTACTTGCGTCGGGCGGGACAGCTAATATAGTAAAATATAATAATTTATTAAATATATTTTGTGGTATACCTGTATCAGTGGCGTAATAATCAGGGGTAGCTAAGGGGGGGTTGTAACCTCCTCCCGGAATTTCAAGAAATTTATAAAATGAATTCCATGATCTATGAAAGAAACTGCAAATACAAATTTGTATTGCCGTATATGAACCGAAACCTAAAATAAAACCTAGCAACCAGTATGCTAAACTCTTGGGAGACCCTATTGTTAAACCAGCTCTGTGTAAACACATCACTAGCATCCCTCAAATAAAAATATAATAAATAATAAATATAATATAAATAAAATGTATGTATATATTATGTATGATTATGTTGCATAGCACATCCAAACGTTAGACTATTCATAACCCACGGAGGATTGCATAGCATAGAAGAAACCGTTAGTAATGCAATACCTATAGTTGGAGTACCATTTTTTGCTGACCAGTATTTAAACATGAAAATAGCTGAGGAGAAAGGTTATGGTAAACTTGTAAATTATTTTGAAATGACTGAAGAATCATTTGAAAATGCCATCAAAGAAGTACTGTCGAATGTGATGTATGTTAATGTTATATTATAATATAATTTATGTATATTGTATAGGTATTATAATGTATATTAAATAATAAACTATATTCTTAAAATAATTGGTACTAAATTAGGTATAAAGAGATGGTGAAGATCCAGAGTCAGATATTCGAAGATCAACCAATGAAACCCTTGGATCGAGCTGTTTACTGGGTCGAATATGTTATTCGGAATGGTGGAGCTAAACATCTTGTAAGTGACTCAATAGAGTTAAACGACGTACAGTATTTTGTGTTAGACATATCATTGATTTTGCTTGTATTAACTGGACTGATAATTTGGTTGTGTTATTTGATAAAGACAAATGTGATATCTAAAAAATTAAATACAGAATAGTTATAAACTATTTATAAAAATACAATTTTGTATATTTTTTTTAGAAATCAATAAACATATTTTCAACAAGTATGATTTTGTTTTATTTTGTTATTTCGCTGTGAGTAATAACTAATAAGTATAACTTCTTGCAAAGAGAAAAATCTAACATTTGTACAGATTTGTAATAGCTTTCATTCATAGAACTTACACATTTAGTTGCATTTCACCACTGTCACGATAATACGTCGATAATAAGTTATAGCAGGGATTAGTTTTAAAACTTAAAGTACCTATACTGGCTATACTTAAATTAATACATCATTTTCTATATATATATAAATGAATTGCTGTTCGTTAGTCTCGCTACAACTCAAGAACGGCAGGACCGATTTGGCTCAAATTTTTTTTAAGATGTTCGTAATTGCCAGGAGAATTGCCATTGATCAAAAGACAATTTTTAGGAAAATCCACCAAAAAATGGGAAATCTGGATGTGAAAAATACAACAGTGGCGCAACATTGTATTATATTATATTGGTTGCTATTGGTTAATCGGGCATGTTTGTTGATTTCTTATAATATAAAAAGTGTAGATAAGCGAAATAATTCTACTGTACGTGTGTTGTGACTGAACTCCTCCTAAATGGTTGGACCGAATTGAATGAATTTTTTTGTATGCGTTTGCGTGACGCCCCGGATAATTTAGATTCACAAATCACCCCTAAGGTCCGACCAGGGGATCTGCTTAAACGGGGATTTAGAGATTTATGGTGGACATTTTTGCTTATAAATGGTCACCATTGGTTGCCTTGAAGTCAGTGTCCTTTTTTTTTTCAATGCATTTAATTTTTTTGTACGGTGTGTTTTGATATTATATATTTATATGTATCTCAATTACGTAAATATTGAGCTTATTATACTCACATATAAGTTACGTACATAAAAGTATAAAACAATGTCACGTCTATGATGAGGAGGAAATATTGATCAACTGACCCGGCATTCACAATTAGTCCAGGCGTTTAGGAGGAGTTCAGCGACATACTTGGTATAACTTTGATACTCTAGAGTTAAATTATAAAGTTACGCAAAAACAGCACGGGGTCCGCGATCTACCGCAGGTAGATTACCTACCTGATAATATACTGCTGCGAATCAGAATTTTTATCCCAGGCGCAACAGAAGAGTTATAATAAGAACACCATACACCGAACAAAGTTTGAGTCATATAGAGTTGGTCCATTTAAAGGGAAACTAAGTGCACGGGATCAGCTAGTAATATTATATATTTATAAATCTCTCAAGTCACAACGAAGTTTCCTCGAAGTTATGAGTTATGACGATAGTAATATGTACCGGGTACCTAGTTCTGGGCGCGATACGATTGCGCGCGGTCCTTATCAGCGGTACCTTTTTAAGCGTACGATTGCGCGCGCTATATTATTTTAACTTTTAAGCAACGTTGCCAAATATATAGGTCCATGGTAAATCCGTAGGATACCATAGTAAATTATAGTAGATTATTTATTACTTATTTTTGCCGATATCAGACAAACTTCCCATCACTAAAGAATGAATTGGTTATATTATCAAAAATATTATCTTTATTGTAAATGTCCATACATGTACGAATATACCTATACTATAATCGTGCATGATGTGACTATATCAATTAACTATCAGTTGTGTTCGGTTCTAATAATAGTTTTAAAAAAAAAATGTGTTAACTATAATATTATATTATTTATTTTTAGGACTACAAACGGGGCTGAAAGTTTCCATAGTACATATAATGCACAGTTTAATAGTGCTCATCCACCAATATTTTTTGTTATAGCTACCCTTATGGAACCTCAGGCAGAAACAGTTACCAAATTATTAACCATTTCCAAAGGTACCTATAATAAAACCAAAATCGAATGAAGAATCAAGGAAAATTAAAAATTTGAAAAATGAACACAAACATTATGTAAACAATAAAACACCAGAAAATTTACTAAAGTATTTGGCCATAGTTGGAAATAGGTATCGGGGGTTTAAAATTTAATATAAATATTGATTTACGAGTATTATATTTTTTCAATTATTAAATTTCTTTATTTTGTATTATTTTTTTTAACTTTTTTATTTTTTATTATTTACGTTAATTTTTTAATTTTTTTTTAAATAACATTTTTTTATATTATTAACTTTTTGTATTTTTATTATTTACGTAATACATTTGGCAACGTCGCACCCAATTTCACGCGCAATCGTACGCCTTTGAGTAATTAAAATGTTGTCTTTTGTTATTCGGGCACTGCGCGCAATCGTATACCTAAAAAGGTAAAACGCGCGCAATCGTACTCCGCCGCTAGTTCTCCTTTATTCTTTTGGACTCTAGGCAATGGCGTGATGACGATGTACTGAAATCGGAAGTTTCTAACTGTGAGCCATGAGCTTGTATCGACAACTGATATATTATTATTTCCGACCGAAACCGCAGATCAGAATAATAAATGTTATATAATAATACAACGCGTGTCTTATACGGAAGTGGTCGAAGGTCATTCGTATACAGGTACAGCTGTTGTAAATAAGCCAGAACACGCGTGTTAATAAATTATTACGTAATATAATCAAGACTGATCACTGATGTACTAATTATTATCTTCAATTACTACTGTTGTACCCGCTTACAACAAACCGGACGAGCACAGCGATTCGTATATTATGATAATAATGTAGTATTAGCACTGCTAGTGATCCACTCCGACCCAAACGCAAAATATTATTATTTTTTTTGTTATCATCACCGTCAGTCGTCACGACCGTACCTACCTAACGACCGTACCGGTACCACACGTTGTTATTATTTTTCTCGTTATGTTCGTCCGACCGGTTCCGCTGTCTCGGCAGTTGGACATCGACGTCGCGTCGAGCAGACGAAGATTTCAAGGAGACACTCCTGGCCGCGACAAAAATATAAATCTGATAAAAATCCAAATCAAATGACAAATAACATAATATCATAATTAAAAATATAATTATATTATTATATTTCGTCATGTTCGCGGCCGTCGCGCGGCTACTGCCGCTGTTGCTGCTGCCAACGGTTTTGTCACCGCCCTCTGCGCTCGCCGCGAACATATTGGCGTTCATGCCCATTCCGCTGAAAAGCCACTTCGGCGGGTTCCAGCCGATGTTCGAGGAGTTGGCCCGCCGGGGCCACAACGTCACCGTGGTCAGCTCGTTCCCGCTGGCGAACCGACGAGTCCCGAACTACACCGACGTGGACGTGAGGCCGGTACAAGGTCTTCCCGGTGAGCATGCCTTGTTGCACTTTATTCATACTTTATTCGGATGGCTCATAAAGAAGGTACCTATAATGACAATATTATGGACTATAAACTAAAAACACAACATAATATCGCATTAATATTGGCAGTATTGATTGTAGACTATAATTTTGTATTTATTTTTTTATTTTTATTAATTCTTCAATAAGAAATGGACGATAATAGAAACATAATGCTGGTAGAATATCGTAGGGTAGGCATATAACAATAAATACATAGGATATTAGAGTATACGTATATATTTATACTGTACTAGGTCGATATCTAAGTTCCGTATCCACTCGATTGCGTTAGGGGTAGTGATGTGAGGAAGAAATTTCTATTATGAAATTTCTTAACAAAATAATTAATATATACATTTTTTACGTAAATTTTAACTATTTTGACTAAATAAGACTAATAATAAAGAATTGAGTCTATGTCTATTTAAAAAAGTATATATTGATTATTATTTATTTAAATTAAATTTACTGATACCATTTAAAAATTAGATCAAATTAGGGAATAAAATATTTGTCTAAATTTAAAGAATAATTTTAAATTGATTAAAGCTAATTAAAAAAAAATTTATATTTAATAAGTTGAATTAAAATTAAATTTTTAAAAAACATATTATATTATAGAATTTTCTGGAAATTTCCTATAGGAAATTTCTTCAGAATTAAATTTCTGAAATTTAACATCTCTAGAACTTGCATTTACAAAGTCCTAAGGTACCCCATTGTGACTTGAGCACTCGGCACTCGCATATACTTTAATGTGTTGAATAGTCTGGTGGTATGTGCCATAGTCGCACACTGTGGTATATAGGAAATAGGCCCCATTTGTACATCAGATATCCCGCAAGTGTCCAGTCCGGATTCGATCGAGGGTGGCCCATTGTTTGTGAGGTAAATGGTACCCTGCAGGGATATGGTAACTGTCAACTTTGTATAACTATATATCGTCGTAAATACTAATATTCATAATCAACGTTAGTACCTACTATTTAAACGAAAATAAAGCTATTCCGCACTCGTGACAATTTGCCACATGCCATGAAACGGTACTTACTATGAAGTAGAATAGCCGTTTACCAAAAATATAAATACATTTGCTTTATATATATAATTAATGCTTTATTTCTATTCAAACTTTTATGTTTACAATATTCGGGGATGGAAAATGTTGTTTTCCCGTTAATCTCTTATATAATATGAAAGGAGTTTTTGCTATTGTACAATATTAGGGACGGAACAGATAATTGTATTAGGCCCGCTCGATTAAGTGGCGTCTAATCACAATCTCTGTTCGGGTCGAGCGAGGCCTAGGCAGGCGCGCTTGGGGGGACTTTCTTTTAATCAGTGTTGTCCTAAAAAGGACAATTTATTACCCAATGTCTTCCAGTTGGTTATCCAATTGGTAAGTTCTTGCCTCTGGTTGATTACTCTTCTCTGCGTCCTGTATGGTCCCTGTTGCTAGTCGATCCGCCTGACCAAACTATCTATGTCACACGAAGCTATTAATGGCGCATCGAGTATCCGCATCGGAGTTCCGGTCTAAGCCTTTCCCCGATGTCGGATATAACGAGAGGTTACCATTTAGTTAATCCCGTGGACAAAGATATATATAGGCCGATGTGTTGGATTGCCGCTGACCGTACGATCGATTTTGTGGCGATGCTCCAAGAGAGTTGCACACG